TGAAAAGGGCGGCCGATGTCTGCTCTTCTCCCGCCCCAAGCGCTCCTGGCCGTAGATTAGCCGATAAGGACTGCGCCTGGCTCGGTGGGGAAGCTGAGGGATCGGGTGATTCCTTCCTGTGAGGGGTGACTGTAAGTCGGACTTGAGTAGGGTTGTTCCCAAAGGCTGCCCGACTTTGGGCTCTGTCTCCGCGGGGTAAGCGGTGGCTCCCAAACTTGGCGCAGGCCTAGTAGTAAGGCTCCCCGCATACACTGTGTGTGTTATTAAAGAAGAACATTATGGTTGGGGCCAGTGACAGCGACTCTGGACGACTCCATTTAAGCTTTTGTAGGAGGAAGTAAGTTAACTCGCTAAAGCAATACAAGAAAAGTTTGTTTAAGATTTTTAATAACCCGTAGTGTTTTGCATTGGCAGAAGTGAAGGAGCGTGTCTAAGTTTGCTGGTAACTTGGTGTTGTTTAGAAACTTAACTGAAGACTTGCATTGTTTTGAGTGTAAATAGCTATGAGTCAAACAGATTTCAGGTTACTACAAGCTCCTTGAGTAGGAGTCTTTCACATAGATATAGATAACTTCTGATTTAGTAGAGAATGAGAGTGTCAACAAGGTAGGTGTTGCAGGGATCAATGAAGATCACAGAGTTGCAATGGGAGACCTTCAGGTTACCATAAGTCAGAAGTCAGTGCTTCTGAAGTGTATGTGAAAAATACATACCCACTGGGCGGAAAGCTCCTGAAGGTAGTCAGTAGAGACTTCAGGTTGCTGAGGTGTGTGTGGAGAATGCAGACAATTAAGTTTTCCTTTTGCTGTAGTCAAACCATTAATTTGATGCTGGTGTGTTGGCGAAACTGTAGTATAGTTACAGCTGAAGAATGTAACGTACGTAAGCTTTCAGAACCCCTGAAGGTGTCTTCATCTAGCTGGAAACAAAATTCTCTTTTGATGGTAGGTGTTTATAACTCTTTCAAAGAATTATTTCAATTTTCTATTAGCCACTGCTAAGACAAACCTGTATAACACAGTGCCTGCGGCCCCATCTAGGATATGGTTGTGTTCTGAGTTTGGTTTTGTCTTGGCCCTGGCGTTCTTTTCCATTCACCAAAAGGTCCAGTTTGCCTGGTGACAGGGAAGAATGGAACCACTAACTGGCAGTCTGAAGGTCTGCCTGTCTGGTAAGCCTTAAGTATCTACTGCCTGCAGATACTTAAGGTGGGAGACTTTCTAAGGAGGGCCTTGATTCAAGCTTCCTTTGCAAATCCTCTATTTGACTTCAGTATCAATGGTATTGGCTCTTTTTTTTCCTTCTTTTTTTTTTTTCTGGTGAAAATGGCCACTGAGTTTGTTACAAAATGATGTTAGTACAAGTGAAATGTAGCAGTGTGTTTGTGATCCTATTTGGAGTGTGCATCTGCAGCTCTATCTAGTTGCTGAGGCTCAGACAGTAACTCATAATACGGCAGTCCTGTCTGTGTGTAGTGCTTATTGACAGTGTTTCTAGATCCAGCAGTTTCAGGCTTCATTCTAGTTGGTTCTGAGGAATTACTAGTTTGAATTTAGGAGTACTTATCTAGTTGGCTCATTCTTACATGGATATAAATCCTGAGTGGACTCCATGAGGTTTCTGACTCCATACTCTTTTCATAGTAGAGATGAATTAATTGGGAAAAAAAAAAAAGTCGCAGTACTTATGTATCTTTTCTTTTTCTCTTCTAGAATTTATTTAGGTTGGATTCCTAGGGAAGAAATGATCTTGTAATAACACCATTTGTGCTTTCTGTGTAGAAGCACGAGCCTTTTGACTAGTTTCAACCATGTCTGGAAGAAGAAAACAGTCTTACAGATGGTTAAGATCCTGTAATTCAGCAGCTGCACAGAGTAAAGGGATCTAAGCTAGTCCTCCATTGAGAGGAAGAAAAGGGAGAAATCTATGGAAATTTTCCATTTTGCAGTAAACTTCGCATTTAGTTCACTTGATTTGGGTAACTTAGCTGATAGCTCAGATTAGCCATGTTTCTGCTGACTCTTGGGTGACCAGAGTCTGGAAGAGTGGTTAAAAACACGTCAGTATGGGGCTTTGTGCCTCTAGGAAACTTGGTTATTTTTTTTCCTGTTTGGAGGTTGGAACACCTTGAATTCAAGAGAGTTTTGTAGAAAGCCACGAGATTTGCAGTTTCCCATGATTTTAGGACTGCTTTTTTGAGCGAGGTGTCAAAAAAATCGTTCACCTATGTTCGTATTCCTGGATGTTTCTGAAGTGTATAAAGTGCAGATTCTTCATGTAAATGCAGGCTAGCTTTCCACTGCATTTTCTTGACACAAACCTGTCTGGTAAGCTCAGTTTCTATCAATAACAATTTGGGTGCCTTTTTCTTATTAAATTTATGAGCAGCTGCAGACTTTAGAAGAAGGGAGACTTGGGGCATAAATTTTCAAGTAAATTTCTTGGTAGACATCAAATGAAGAAATGCAAAACCTTGCAAGAACTTGGTCCAGAACAAGCGTAGATATTTGAATGGGAAGCTTCACAAATATGAAACCCTTAAACAGAAAGCTGTAAAACTAATTGGAGGGAGAAAATGGGAGGAGAAAAGTGTTCTATAAATAACTGGTTAAAGTAGAACTTTCTAGCATGCTAATTTTTAGTTGTTGTTTTTAAAAATTTTGAGAGAGGAGCAAGATTCAAACTTGCATTCAGTTTATTTCCACAAAGAACATGTCATTTACTCCAAACTTCTTCTTTATTGTTTCAGATGTTGGATGAAAATAACCATCTTATTCAGTGTATAATGGACTATCAGAACAAAGGAAAGACGTCTGAATGCTCTCAGTAAGATATTAACCCAAATCTACTGTGGACTGGGTGAATTTCCATCTAGAACACCATTCTTGATTTGTTTAGCTCACCTTGTAGGAGATCTGTGCTGTGAAGAACAGAAAGTATGTGTATGGATACTACACTTGAAATTTGTGGCCTTTTTAATTTGCCGTATGGCTATCGCTTCTGTCAGTGAAATGTTGCAACTTGTGTACCTGCAAGTTGATGTCATGATGGTGACACTCATAAAAATGGGGACTGTGCAACCAAGATCTTTTTCATCTGGATCATAATTGCACTGTGGGAAGGAGGTAGCTTTCTTCTCAAACTTTTCTAAATCATAGGAATGGACCTCTCCATGTCTAGGTGACATGTTTGAAAACTATGTGCTTGTCACATGCCCAGGAGCAAACAGGCTTGTCTTAAAAGTTTGACTTGCGAGATTGTCCCATGTGGACTTGCTGTCTAGTGGGGTCTCTGGAGATCTGAAAGAACTGTGGAAGGACTGAATTGTTAGGGATTATTGTTTTCCCATTACTGTTTTCTACCGTGGGATAGTCCTGGCACCCTTGTAATTGGACAAATACAGAGTTATTTGGCAGATGTGTGAGAGTAGGGGGGTGTCATTAGCAGTAGGTATTTATGCTTTTATTATAGCACAGTTAATACATTAAGCTGTTTGCAAGGCTCTAGGTACATATTTGTAATCTGTTCCTACTTTCAAGGTTGTTTTTTTGTGACTGTGGCCTAGACCTTGAGACTTCTGTAGCAGAACAGTCATTGTGAAGCGAACTTGGGAAGCTTATGATCCTGATGAAATGTTTGCACTGTTCTTGTTTGTGGTTTGCATAAATCTATGGTATATTGTATCTGGGGAGCTCTCTTTCCCTAGTGTTGTGACAGGAATTACACCAAACAGCCACACATGCATTATATGTCTCCTAGTGTCTTAGTTTGGGACAGAAGGTGAAATGGGTGAGAATTGTGTCACTCAGCTTTAGATTTTTCATAGCAAGACAAAAGTTGTAGAGAAGACACAGGCACAGGTTTGACGGAGAGACTGGGAAAGATTGAGTTACAGGTGAGTGTGAGGGAAAACCTGTAGAATTGCTCTTGTAAGTCTCTGGAATTTGTTTTACGTAGGTAACTATTTACATGTGTAGAATTAACTTTGGATGTTAGTGTATTTGTGTATTAAGATCTATTTTGCTTTTGTTTATTCTAATAGATACCAGCAGATGCTGCATACAAACTTGGTTTACCTAGCTACTATAGCTGATTCCAACCAGAACATGCAGTCTCTACTACCAGCAGTAAGTACTCAATAGTGTGAAAAGTAGGGAATAAGTAACAAGTAGGGAATAAGTTTAGTTTGGATTCTTGAAAGAAAAAAACAAAACAAAACAAACCCTAAACAGACAAAACCCCAAACTAAACAGAAGAGTTTGAGGTAATGACCAAACGTTTATCCTCTGATTTACTCTAGAGTGAATAAATGACTCAGTGTCTCTTCACACTGTGTTTGGAGTAATCTCACCACTTAGGTCGTACTCGAAATCTGAATTGTTTAATGGAAGGCTTTACTCTGAATTAAGTGTGCAGTGCACACATTATCTGGCCTGCCTCCTGAGTAGTCTTAGATTTATATATTTTTTTCCTCTTTCCTCAGCTGACAACTCTAGTGGTGTGGCTATTAGTTCTTACAGCAGTACTCTGTCCTCTTGTATTAGGAAAAGGGGGGTGGGTGGCATATTTTTATTACTGTGTTTTTGGTTTTCACTGGCATATCATCCATTTTTTTGCCTCAGTGGAATGAGGTTGAGTAAATCTTTGTCTGCTTTTCTGTACTCTAGGTGAGTCTCTTAAATTCTTTTCATCTCTCCTGTGTTGGAAAGCAGCCTTAAAGAAGGTGGTTAATTGTAATATGCAAAAAATAAGGTGGCACAGACTTAACTTGAAACATATGTTGCTTTACAGATGAAGCGTTTATTGAGTAATACTTCTTGTATTTTTATTTATTTATTTTTATTATTTGGAGTTGTCTGAATCTGTATTCCTGAACTCTGTATTTTGTAAGATCCCTCAGATTTTTTTTCCCGTTCCACTGTTTATGGAGTAAGGAAAGATACAGGAAGCACTAAAATAGCTTGCCATCTTCTTGCTTTTTATGTTAATCGTAAAGCTTAGGGAGTTCATTGTGAGTAACGCAAGTAAGTTCTTTGTTTTTTGGTAGTAAGACTGTTCTTGAATTAGTACAGTCTTGATTCATTTCTGTAATATGAAGCTAAAAAGAATGTCTATAAAACAGCCATTCCTAGATACTAGTTTTCACCAACTGAAATTGAATTACTTTTTCTTTGGTCTCTGGAGATGTGTTCTCCAATCATTGCTACTAGCGAAGCATCCTTTTGAGTTGGTGCCTAGAGGACTATAGAAACAGTACTTCATTATCGCCAACCTGTTGTGCCTGTAGAGGCTTCTCTTTATAAATCCATGCTTGTAGCTGAGTGGGAGGGAAAGAAACCTTTAAGAGGACTGTACGTGTTACTCAGCTAATATGTTTTTTGGAGGCTTAATTGATATCCTGGTTCTGGTAACAACTGGAAATTATTTTGACCTTATCCTACTCCCTGGTGAACAGCTCTGTTCTTAAAGCTGACTCTTCTTAAAAGAAAACAAAGATAGGACTTTTGCGGATCGGGACTGAAGTGCGTTTCTGATCTTGAGTGGAAGGACTATTCCATAGCAGTGAGAAAATACTGTAGTGTAGGTTTGGTTTTTTGTGGGGGAGCGGCGAGTCCTTTTTCGACAACTGAGGGGAGAATAAGTAGATAGGTTCCTGTTTTTTCTTTCAAACTGAAACATAAAATGAAATTTAGATGCTCCGTCTTAACCTAAGTGTAGATGCTCTGACCTATCAAGTGAAATCTTTGAAGATTTGCCTGAAATGTGGTAACACAATCGGGTAAAATGACTTTTTTGTTGGGGTCTTCAGAAAAATATGCTTTAAATCCTTTTTGTATCCTAAACAAATTTTAGCCAGAACAATTTGGGAACATGTAAGATACTTCTTTTTTCAATGCAAGATAAACTACTTCAGACTCCTGTTTTAGTGGCTTTCAGTTTAAGAACTGATGAGGCTCAAATTGACTTGGAATTATTATGTTTCTGTTCACCATGCTTTGGTGTCAGCTGTTGAACAGTCTTACTCAATTCAAGGGTTGTGAGTGGCAGCAATTAAATATGGATGAAGATACTGTGTTTGTCTTCTACATCTACTATTTTTAGTAGTAAAATGCATCAGTTTTATTAAAGACACTACCATTGCAGCAGTTTTCCACATAACTTAGGAGGGATTGAGCCTAGATAGCTTCTGAAGTTGAGTTCCATCTGATCTATTCATATCTGGAAAATTGTTCTCCTAGTAAACTATGCTTTCTTTTTTTTTGTTGAAATTTTTTCTTGTTTTTGTTGTGCAAGCAAACTCTCAGGAAATTTCACAACTTAAAGCATTTTATAAACAGTAATAATTATGTAAGAAAATGAAGTTGAATAGAGAATACTAATGTTAAGATAGCTTAGATTAAAAACTTCAATGAACCTGATCATTTAGCTCTTTTGTTCAGTGTGAATGCTAAAATGACCTCAACCTGATGATAACTTTGTATCCATTCACAATATTCCTTAAATTTAATGCTTCATATTGAGAAAAATGCTTCTAGTCAGCTGCTTTGTCTCTATTCCCATACTTTATATTAGACAAAAGTATAGAATTGTAGAATGGCTTGAGTTGGAAGGCACCTTAAAGATCGTGTGGTTCCAACCCCTTGCCATAGGCAGGGCTGCCTGCCACTAGACTGGGTTGCTCAAAGCCTCATCCAGCCTGGCCTTGAACACTTCCAGGGAGGGGGCATCCACAACTTCTCTGGGCAACCTGTTCCAGTGTCTCACCACCCTTGTAGTAAATAACTTTGTCCTAATAGCTAATCTAAATCTACCCTGCTCTAGTTTAAAACCATTGTCCCTTGTCCTATCATTGCATGCCCTTCTAAAAAGTCTATCTCCAGCTTTCCTGTAGGCTTCGTTCAGATACTGGAAGGCTGCTGTAAGGTCTCCTTGGAGTCCAGTGAACTAACTGTGGTGTGTAGAGAAATGCTTCTATGAAAGGGGGAAGTGAGGAAAAGGTGCAACGTGTGAAGTGAGCATTGGAGGTATGAGTGAAGTGAAATAGAAGGACTTGGAAACTCCGGTATCGTAACAAAAGCTTTTATTGTCTTTGTATGCATGGTAAATTTACAATATTAAATTATGACTTTTGGAGGTGAGAGACGTTCCTTCACATCAGAAGACGAAGTGCGGGGTTAATCTCCTTACGTCAACAGGTCCTTTCTCAGCCATGTGAACAGGAGCATTGTTAAGGATAGGGCTTTTCCCAGAGTCTCTTCCCAGCTGGATAGTGTCTATGTTCACATGTGAAGTTGATGCAACTTCCTCCTGCCTCTTTCCAAGTTATGGCAGATATTCTCTTTCCTGAACGGTGGTTGAAAGTCTGTTTACCACCACCATATGGGATGAGCTCACTCTCCAAAAAGGGCTTGCATGGTGAGAAACCCAACAGTTGAATTCTTTTGATTTACACTAGTGCTGCTTTTGAGGGAGGTGATGGCAAAGTGTTAGTCTCCTTGAACTGTAGAGTGCAAAGATACAGCTAAAGCCTGTTACTGGGACTTCTAAGAGAACCTCCAGAAACAGTAGTGAAATATTGTGCATGTGTGTTTCTAAACGGATTAAATTTCAAACTGCAGAACAGGCATCTTATCCTCCCCAAGTTTTATTTTTTGTTTCCTTGAGACAGTGTATTTTAGTGGCATTAAGAAGTCATTGTAAACTATTTAATCAAAAAAATCCCCAACAGCTTTTCCACTTGGACTTTTTCCCTCCCCAATATATCTTCATTTTCCCAGATATTTGTAAGAAAACAACCTGTGACCATCATTCTGTTGAGAAAAGTGAAGGGGGAACTTTTGTTCTGCACTCTAGCATTTTAATTTTGCAGTAGTTTTATGACTTGCAAATATGGAGGTCTCCCTGGGTTATTTGATTTGGAACATTTGTTTTGGTTTTTTTCAGACACAGAAAAGTTGGGTGTTTGGGTGTTTTTCCAGTTTTTCTTACATGATACAATTTGCCTTCTGTCAGCATGCAGAGCGCTTGATTTCAATGTATATTTCAAGAAGGTGATGACAATAAATGCTTATGTTTATTACTCACTTATCTAATGTACCAGTTTCTTTTATATTGAAAATGCCATTTTTTTCCAGTAGCAAGCTAAACTTTGTATGTGAAGTGACTTCCAAGAAAACTTGTGTCTGAGTTGTAGAAAAGTGTGCACATCACATTGAATTGTTTTTCATAATTTCATAATATTGGAAAGGTTATTATTAAACGTATTATTAATGTGATAACTTTTTCTTGTTTCAAATTCTTCTGTCAAAATTAGTGCTTTTTGTACTACTTACGGAATCTGTTAATGTATGCTGTTCCCAGAGTTGTCACACAGATTAGGGTATAGTCTATGACATTTTAGTTACACAACACATATATAAAATGGTGATTGCTTTTCATAAATACACACCATCAACAAACACTGAAATACTGGTTACTTCCAAAGAAACTTCTTCAAGAGGTAGAACTAGTAAACATCATTACTAGCACCTGACTAAAACTTTTCAAGTTCCTTATTGGAAGATGGGTTTGTTAGTCGTGTGGTTTTCTTGTTGTGTTTTTTTTTCTTTGTTTTAAATCTGTGGAGTTTGGGTGGCTACATAGGGGTATTCAATATAAGAATGGTTATACTTGGTCAGTGGAAAGTCTCATGATCTTAAATATACTCAAAGGGATAATATTCAACCTACAGTTTCAATGTACTTGGGACGAGATGAGTTTGTAGAAACAATTCAATCTTAGGAACTGAACCTGTACTCTGCTTTTTTAGTAGCCTTCATTTTGAACATAAAAGTTGTCTAAAATATATATGTTAATTGAATTATCTTGATACTGTTTTTCTGTAAATAATCAAGAGGGCATGCAAAAAAAAATATGGCTCTGTTTTAATAGCTTAAAATCTGGAAATAAAACTCCTGTTGCTGAAGATGAGAGGAAACCTAAATTAAAATTCTTGTCCAGTTATGTACCAAATACCTAGGAAAGACGGATATCTGTGGTAATACAGCAGAAAATCTGTTTGTGGTATCTTCTTGCTTGCTGATCACAGCTGGCATTGGTCTTTAAACCTCTAGCTTAATTCACTATA